ATTTCCATCTCACACCCACAGACAGAGCTGTAATTCCATCACAGAACAAAGGTCAGGAGTCCTCCTCCTCTCACATAATTTAGTTTTGACAGCTCATCAGGATCAGAGGAGCTGGAGATTTTAACTCGGAGGCTGAAATCTTGCTTTGCAAGAGGCGCTCGGTGCATCTTTATGAATCTCTGCTTCAGCACTGTGCTGGTATTTAACACAAGCCTGAAATACATAGCTCCTGATGAATTTATTTGCTAGTGGTAACTGATACTTGCCTGTGAAAAATGTATGGTAGCTTCTGCTTTAAAGAAATATCTCTAATGAGAGTTCAATTGGAAGGTGAGATGATTATATCTGGAACTAGGATTGAAATACCTGAACTCCGCACACAGAGAGAAAGAAAATGAAGGCAACACAAAATTCTTTTGAAACAGGTTCTTTTCTTCCTGAGTGTTCACCAGTTTTCAAAAAACTACAAAAACCTCAAGGACTGTAACAATGTAGCACTTGAAAAAAGGGCTGTTGTGTACAAAAACAAGCATGCTTTTGTTTTGGGGTTGGAGTGTTTTTTTGTATTTACCTGGGTTCTTTTCTTCCTTCAGCATAGTGTGAAAGAAGAAAGTACCAGTTTATTTAACAGGATAGCTCAGAAAAATAGGGAAGAACATGCTTTCCCCCTTACAAAGCTCTACCAGAAGATGCATGCTTGAGGTCCGAAATACAAACAGACTGACACATTTTGTAGCATGCAGACTTTGTTGTAGGACCCACACGGCACTTCCCTTCCCCTGCCCCATGGTCAAAGATGTGGTCCATGCCATGCATTTTGCTTTCCCTTTAGCTTGTTTTTTTGTTTTCTTTTTGTAGTGAGTTATTTGCCTTTTTTTTTTTTTTCCTTTTTTTTTTTTTTAGCCCTAAATCCCAGGTAGCAGTATCCAAGGTAACAGCAGAAAAGAGTCCAGATCTGCACATTATCACTGTTTCTGCAAGTTTCATGCAAAACTTAAGCCATTTCTGCATGCAACACGATGCTGGTCATTTATTGTGCTTCATACAACTCTGGGGAGATTTCCCCATGCATCACGACAGAGTTTGTTGACTGGGAAGCGCAGATTTGCTTTCCCATGGACACAGACACATTAAAAGACCCTCCCCCCTTTCCAGTCCCCCCCCAGCTGCCCCAAACACATGGGAATCTGCATCTCAGCACCAGGTCCAGACAGTTCACTTGCCTACAAAAGCCCGGTGGCTTCAGTAAAGTCCCATGATTGCAGCTCCCACATCCTTGGAAGGTCTTCGGTCCTTCACCAGAAAGTTAATCATGCTCTCCGACTTTATGAGCAAGTTGCAGCCCAAAAAGAAGATGCCAAACATCACAGTCAAGGAGAGGACACAGAGGACAGCGATCTGCACCACCCGCGTGATGTAAAGGCTCCTCTCGTCGGGCGCCAGGACCGAGGACCCATGATTGCAGCTCCCACATCCTTGGAAGGTCTTCGGTCCTTCACCAGAAAGTTAATCATGCTCTCCGACTTTATGAGCAAGTTGCAGCCCAAAAAGAAGATGCCAAACATCACAGTCAAGGAGAGGACACAGAGGACAGCGATCTGCACCACCCGCGTGATGTAAAGGCTCCTCTCGTCGGGCGCCAGGACCGAGGAGATGAGCATCCCCAAGCCCTGGGTCCTGTTGGGGTAAGCTCCCTGCTCTAGGAGAGTCTGGTTGAAAAAGGATCCATTCATGGTCTACGTGTGATCCCAAATCTCCGGGGAAGCAAGAGGAAAGCTTCCTGTCCCCCTGCCCACCCCTCACATGCCAGGGCTCGGCACCACGGGCCGGTGGGCTCTGAGCCACCTCCTGCCTTTCTTCTTCTCACAACACCTCAGATGGAGGGGAAACTTCCTCGAGGCTGTGAGCAGGTGGGAAGCCAATTTGTGCAGCCGAGGGATGGCTCACTCCCGGATCCCTCCTGGCACAGGCAGCGCTAGCACAAACCCCCAAACAAACAAAAAGAGAGAGAGAGAAAAGGCGAAGGGGGCACGGAGGAGAGGAAGACAGCCGAAGATCGCCCCATGCCTCCTGCCCTCGCCGCTGCCCTGAAGCTGCCACCCCGAAGCGCAGGGCAGCGGAACGACACAGCCCGTTCCCCTGGAGCTCTCCCACAGGAGGGAGAGCTGATTCCTGCCGGCTGGGAGCTCCACAAATGCAAGTTCCAAGCTAAAGTCTTCACTGTGTTCAAAGTAAAAACAGCAACTCCACCCCCTTCCAGCCT